GCGGCCGGCGGGGCGGGGAGGCAGCCCCGGCCGTCCCAGGTGCCCCGGGAGGTGTCCGGGACCAGACCTCTCCTTGTGGGACTCCCCCATCGTGTCTCAGTGGCGGGGCAGGAGGGGACGGGATGGGGCAGGGAGGCCGGGGGGCCGAGAGCGGCCGCTGGAAACCCTCCCGCGGAGCATCCGCGGCGCGGAGGGGCCCTGCGCTCCCTGCGCTCCCGCGGAAGGCGGAGGCTTGGCCGGCATATGGAGGGACGAAGGCTACGCGTCCAAAAGGGGCTGTTTTCGTTTTGCTCTACTTCTTAGGAAAATTGCTGTCCTGGCTGCGCAGAGGAGGACAGGCCGGCCGGGAGCCAGCGTAATTTTCCACCTTCCCCTCCTGAGCGATTTAACACGCACTTCGGGCTGGGTTTCTTCCCTCTCTCTGCTTCCCACTCCACCCGGCCCGTGGGGGACCCGGCAGAGGTTGGGGTGTTCTGGGGCTCCTTTCGCCGTTTTGGGGTTTTGCTTCCTTTCCCCTTCAGAGCAGAGCTTTGCCCTGCGCTGGGGTTGATCTCCACCTTGTGCCTAAGGGTCACGCTTTGCATTTGGGGTGATGCTGTTTTGAGGCAGGACACCCCTGGAACACTTCCCCGACGGACACCAGCCCCACGGTACAGTGCAGCAGCAGCCCCCGGCCCCGCAGTGCGCTCCGTGCTCCGCGGGGCACCGCGCAGCCCTGCGCTACCCCTTGGTCAGAGCCGCGCATCAGCAAAGCCTGCCCGTGCCCCCGTTTGGATGGTTCCATTATTAAAGTTGTTCTCCTGCAGCAGGTCCGGTCTCCTGAGTTCAGCAAAGGGGGCGCGAGGGAGGCGGTCTTGGTTCGGGCTTGGTTTCGCTGGGATCGCATTGTTTGGGTTCGGCTTGGCTTGGTCTGGTTGCGTTCGTTGTGGTTTGGTTTGGTTTGGTTTGGTTTGGTTTGGTTTGGTTGAGCTGGATTGGTTTTGGTTGGACTGAGTTTGTTTGATTTGGAGTTGTTTGGATTGTGTTTGGCTGGGTTTGGTTGAACTGAATTTGGTTGGGTTTGCCTTGGGGGGCTTCTCCCTCCTCTCTTGCCTCACTGCAGCTCTGTTTCTCAGAAGACTTCCCCCTCTTCTCGGGTAGAGGTGTGCTTGGGAGGACGTGTCTTCATTTTTGTAACAATTCCCAATAATTTATAGACTGAACCTGAGTCTATACAACAGTAATAAATCTGAAAAAGAAAAGCTGGCAGAGACTGAACTTCACCACCTGATATATGGCCCAGGTGCTTTGGCATTGACTGCAACCAGCCGGGGATGAGAGCACATCTCCGAAAGCAGGGACACCCTCCAGACACCTGGGGTGAAGCAGCGCTGTCCCCTCGGGGTCAGTGACAGTCCCGCTCTCGGACAGACGCGTCTCTTCTTCATGGGGCTGTCACTGGCGTGGCCAGCGCCGATTTGTTTCTAAGCGCCATCCTAATTCCGGGGTTATTTAAAGCAGGAGGAAGCGGTGCGGTTTTATTTGCGGGTTTCCAGCGTTTTACAGATCTCCAGCCGGGGGTGCCGGGAGCGCTCCGGACACCCCACGCGGAGCGTTCCCACGGGGAGCTGTCCCTCCATCCCGGTCCCCACCGGAGCCCCGCGGGTCCGGCTCGCCCCGGCCCTGCCCTCCCTCCGTCTGCCCGGCCCTTCCCACGCCCACGCAGGTCGCGGCTCCCCAGGGATGTCCCGGCGGGGTCTCTGCGGCCGGGCTGCTGCGGCTCCTCCTCCTCCTCCTCCTCCTCGCAGCCCCTCAGCCCGGGGGCGATGGGACAAAGGGGCACCCGAGCCCGGTCCCCCCGTCCTGCCCGACCAGCGGGGCCGCTGGGCAGCTTCCAGGCCCCGGGGAGAGCAGCGGGCTGCAAGTGCGACTTCAAGGTTTGCCTTGGGCCGTGGCCTGGCCGAAAGGTGTGACGTGAGTCAGGGAGGCAGAGAATTACGTCACGCGAATGGAGCCGTGACGTAGCGCCCAGTGGAAGGAGTTGCCGGCGGAGAGATGTCCTGGCCATACCGAGGCAGAGAGCGCTGGGATGGGAGGGAAGAGGAGAAAGCGCAAACCTGGGGGTGACCGCCCTGGAGGCTCGCTCTGCTGTCGCGACATAAGTGTCGGGATCACCGGGAGGGTTTGGTTCTGTGCTGCAGGACTGTGCCCGCTGCTCAGAGCGCGGAGAGAGAGCATGCCCCTAAATCCACCAAAGGCGTTTGAGACACAGAGAGAAGACAGATACATGATTAGATTAGATAAATATAAGATTAGATTAGACAGACCTATGATACAGATATATTCTCCCACTGCCGACCCGTGCCCAGGTGAGCAGTGAATGTGCCGGCTCACACCACGGCCCGGGGTGGACGCTCATGGAGAGAGCCAGGGGAGAACCGGGATCTGCTCTGGCTCCCGAGGGCCAGCCCGTTGCCCTCTGTTTAAGGGCGGTACCGGGGGATGTCTTCCCCGGTGACACCCCAGGAGGAACCGAGGGCTGGGAAGAAAACCGAACCCGGCGTTACCGCGGTCGCTGCCGGTGCCCGGGCACAGCCTGTCTTTGCGCCCAGCGGGGAGAAATTGAACCTAGAACGAATATTTTAAAACTAGATTGTATAGAACAGAATAAAAACCGTAATTTGGCGCATTATTTTAAAAAAAGAGGAAAATTAAAAGGAACGGAAAAATGCTGCCTTCGGTTCGGAGGCTGCTGCGAGCAGTGGGTTTAAAATAGCCGGAGCGGAGCCGGGCTGTTGTTGGCAGACTCGTGGAATCACAGAACCATCAAGGTTGAACAAGACCCTTAAGGTCAGCGCCTCCCTCCAGCGCGGCCCGCTGGGCTCCGTCCCCCTTCCGCCGAGGGCGGGGGAGCCCCCGCAGGCCCATCCTGGAAATAAAGTGAAAAAGGGGACGGTGAAGGGTCTCAGACACGGTGCGCGTTTGCAGCATATTCACCTCCCTCCTCCTTGGGAGAAAGGCCGCTCCCACCTCTTGCTTCTCACCCTGGAGGAGGTCTCCATCCTTCCCGTGCCTCCCGCATCAGCTGAGCCCCTTGAGGCTCAGAGACCCTGGTAAATATTTGCATTTTAAACCACGTCCATCTTAAATAGCCCCGGGGTTGTCTGGTTCACCTCGGGTGCTCGAAATTCCCAGTCGTTTGCAGACTCCTGGGCGAAGTTCAGCCGGGAGAGGCGAACAGGCAGAAGGACATCAAGATGTCACTAAAAAAAAATCAACAAAAAGAAAGAGAGCTCGGGGGAGCTGACCCTGACAGCAGCCACATGTGCATCCCCTGAACGGTGCTAAAGACCGGAGGTGAAGGGACTCGAAGCTTTGGGGTCCCCGGGCCTTGCGGGGTGCTGCCGGGAGTGCGGGGCGGGCCCGACTCCATCACCTCGGCGAGGTCGGAAAAAGCCTGCGCGGCTGGAACACTGCTTCCCTCCACTTTTCCATAAAACAGTTCAAAAGTTCTCTCCCACATCTTTACTTGATTTGAAAGCAAAATAGAGTGTCAGGATAGATCAGCTAAAATGTGCCGAGAAAGTAGAGAGGAGAGAGGGTCCTTTCCCATGGCAGCCAGAGCCAGGGTTTTCCTCCCGTCTCCCTTCTCCCCTTTCCCCTCACCCTCGGTACCCGCGGTTCCCACCTTCCTTCCCCCGTGGGTTTTTCCACTTCTCCAGCACACCGAGGTGTTATCCAGGAGGGCCAAGGCCGTGTCCCGGCCTGCGTGGGCCGCACCGGGGATGGGCCCTGCTCCACACGCCCCTGCCTCGGGACAGGGTGCCCCGGGGACCGATGCAGGAGAGGGATCTGCCGAGGAGGGCTGGGGGTCTCACACCCCCCTTCCCGCCGGCTGCCCACTCCTCTGGACTGGCACAATCTCAGAGACCCCTCCCGAGGGTCACCGCGAGATCGGCTGAATCAGGAAAATTATTTGTTATTAATCATGTGCTGAAAGACGATGTGATAGGAGAGATGGCACTGCCGCTGCTCCCCGGGCTGCGCTCCCCCGGCCGCCAGGCAGGGCGCGGGCAGCGTTCTTATAACCCCCGCAGCCTGGAAAATAATGTTAAAAAAGGTTCAAACCAGTTCCGACAGAGCCCGCAGCCCAAGCACCCCTCCAGGAGCATCTTCCCCGTGGGTCTGAAAGGTGTGGTGGGGTAGAGACGCTGAGGAGTGCGCGGGTGGGCATCCACTGCCGGCTGCGGAGGCTCCGCGGGTCGTGAGGGCCAGGCTGGAGGGGTGTGGGGATCTGCCGTGCTGCGCGGGGGCGCAACTTACGCGCTGCCGCTGGCAGGGGATCAAAGAGGGGCGCGAACTGACGGGGTGCTGGGAGCGGGCGGGGGTCCCCAGAGGATTGTCCACCTTTCCATTCGTTTGTGAAATATTTTTAATACATCACCGCGCTTGGGGGAGGAGGCGGGTGAAGAGGAGGAGGAGCGGAGGCGCTCCCGAAGGGGCCGCGGCCAGGCGGCGGGGGCCGGCAGGGGCGGCGGGGGCCGCGGGTCTGGCCGCGGGCGCGCAAGGGGCGCGGACGGCGCGGAGCGCGGAGCTGGGTCCCGCGCGGCCGGGCTGGGCCAGCGCTAGATGGAGTGATGCATGAGCGAGACGGGGAGGTTTTAACCTTCAGGGGGAGGAGCCCCGTTTAACTACAGGCATTTGTTCTAGGGCAGGTCACTTTAATCTCTTTAGCTTTAAACTGTCCAACTCGCAACTCGCGTTTCTCTATAAGGGATCTTTGCCACTTCCCTGCCTATGCGGCCGGAGCGCCGTGCCTCTCCCCAGCAGAGACAACCGCCTTCCAGGCACTGCCCAGACTGCTTCCGACACCCTTAAAATAATACTGTTAGTAATAAGTGGATTTGCTTTTGGTTTTTGTTGATTTTTTTTTCTTCTTTAAAAAAAAAAAAAAGCTCCTTGTTCCTTTCTGTGTGGAATAAACACCTGCAAACTCCCCCAGGCAGCCCGGCGCCCCTGCCATGGATTCCTTTAAAGGTGGAATGAATTTGGAGAGACTGCCTGAGAGCTTGAGACCCCAACCCTCCCATGACATGGCTTCCAGCTTCCATTTGCAAAGATCCTCGGAACCCAGAGACCCGATCGACAACTCAGCCAGTGAATCCTCCGACACGGAGGTGCCAGGTAACCCTCCCCCTGCCCGCGCCCCCCGGCCCCGGCCCGCTCCCCCCGCGCTGCCTCCCCCTCCCCACCGCGCCTTCCCTGCGCGGGCCGCCCGGGGGTGCCGAGCCCGCGCCCCCCGCGTTCCGGAGCCCGTGGAGGGACAGGGCTGAGCGAGAGCTGCCGGTGATCGCGGCGGCTCCATCCCGAGCGAGCCCCGGGAACCGCAGCGGGGGCAGGGGCCCTCCTGGAGCTGCCTCCCCCACCGTGCCCGGCGCTGACAGCCCGCCCGGGGGACGCATGGCTCCATGGTCCCATCCAGGAGCTGCTGTCTTTTATTTATTTTATTTATTTTTAAATTAAAAAACTGTCGTTATTAATTGATGGGGTCGGGAGGAAGGGGGGGGGCTCTTCGGGGAGTGCGGGTTTGCCGGATGTTTCTGAAATAATGTCAGCTTTTGCCCGGGTTTATTTTCCAGCTCGGGTGGTGCAGAGATGGAAAAAGATCTCTCTGTCAGCGAAAAAAAAAAAAATTAAAAAGAAAGAAAGGGCAGGCAGAGGCGGAGAGGCAGCGTGGGGCCGAGGCAGGCAGCGCGGGCCGCCGCGGAGGGGGTGTGCGCGGCCGCGGAGAGGGTTTGCGCGGGGCCGAGCGCTTTCCCCGCAGGAAAAGGGAAGGGAAGGATCCCCGTGCCTTGACCACCGTGTGCGAGGGCTACAGCGAGCGCTGGGTTCTCTCAGATTGCATTTAATTAAAACAACAACATTTTTAGAATGACAAGGGAAAGGTAGAAGAGAGGAACAAAAGTTTAAAGAAGGAGTGTGATATTCCTTCTCCAGCAAGATTGTTTCAGAGGGAGTTTATGTTTTATATAATTTTAGTTTTCTAATAACTATTGTTGCTCTTGGGAATTTTACCCTAGAGAGTGGCTGTTGTACGAGTGGGTCCCGAAGTGGCACTCGGTGATAAAGAGGGTTTGGGTTGTGCCTCCCGGCCTGATTCGCAAACAAAGTTAGAGACCGGCGTCTGGAAGGGACTCTGAGATTAGAGGGGATTATTGGAGATTAGAGAGGGAGATTTGCTCCATTTTGCCCTACCCCTGTGTGTGACCCCTCGGTGCTGCCGGAGGGCCGAGGAGCTGCCTGCTTTTCTTCTCCGACAACCTGCAAAATACCTTTAGATTTCATTTTTTAACGGGAAAAAAAAATAGTTACAAAAGCCTTGCGTTAGAGATTAGATATGCCTTGCGTTATGATTTGGAATTGTATCACAGCCCTGCGCTGAGGGCGGATTTTTAGGGAGGATCGGGAGAGTTAAACCAGCGCTGGGCGAGGGGGCCGGAGCCCACCGGGAGCACTGCGGCTTCCCGATCCCCCCGCTCCCCCTCGGCCCGGTTTGTCCGAGCCATTGGCGGCCGAGAGCGGGAGGATTTGTTTTGGCGGGGATGATTTTTGTTTCTGTTTCGCCGCCGCCGCCGGGCCATGCGGCTGGGCCGGTCTGAGGACCGGGGGCCGGGGGCGATGGGGTCTGTGCTGAGAGGCCTTGGGTTCGCTGCAAACCCCGCATGCCATCGGCCCCTTTTGGGGTCCGCTGAGCAGCTGAGGTTCGCTCGCACCCTCGCCCCTTTCCCTGTGCGGGGTTCTCAGCAAGGTGCGACCCAAGGGTGACTTTGCAAGGACGAGCTCTCCCGGGCTCTGGATTCAGCACGCGATTATTTTTAGACTCCCGCTTACCTCGCAGAGGTCGGGGCTGTACAAATGCCCCCGGGCCCGCCGGCGGCGGGAGAAAACCCTCCGAAAGGGGGTTAAAAATAAAAACAAAAACAACTCTTTAAAGGAGGAGGAAAAAAGCTCTAAAGAAGAAAACTCGCCGTGGTTTCTCCGTCCTGCAGCAGCAGGACCGAGGCCGGGGCTTGGCCGCGGCCCCCGGCCCTGCACGGCCCGGCCGCACCTTCCCCGCTCCTGCGGGGCCCAGCCCGGAGCATTTCGGTTCAGGGCCTCCAGACCCTCTCCGAGGGCTGCAGCCGGGACAAACCGGGCCCAAACCGGGCCGGGAGAGCCAGAGAGCCCGTTAGGAAAGGGGAGAGGGGGTTCGCAGGGCCGGTGTTGAATTCCTGCTCCCAGCCCGCGCAAATCCCGGCCGAGAAAACCCTCCTGGGTGGTTTCCTTTTTCTTTCCTTCTTCCGATATGATTTTTGCGGAGGGCTTCGCTCAGCCCTGTGTTAAAATAAACAGCAAAATCCTAAAAGATGAAGAATAAAATAATTATGAAAAAAGAATGAAGCGGGGGAGCAGAGAGGGGCCTTTTGCAATTAATTGCTCCTGGGTTTTCCACCCTTGCCCTTCCAAAGTTTCCTATCGCGGCCGAGCACAACAAAGACAATGGAGCAAAGATCGCGCCTTGGTTTGGAGGGAGCGAGAAGGTGCCGTGGAAAGGCGGAGCGGGCGGTGAGACGGGCACCCCGCTCCCCACGAATGCGGTCACCCGCGTTGAGCCGCTCTGGGGGTCCCTCCTGCCGCATCCCTGCGTGCCCTGGGCCCGGCAGGGCTCCCTGATCCCTCCCCGGGGGCCTGAGCCGCGCCGGGAAAGGCCGGGATGGGCTGCGGGGCTCGGGTTGGGTGCAGGGCTCAGCGGGACACGAGTGGGTGCCCCACGCGTGCCTCCGGTGGGGTGGGCAGCGCTGGGTGCGGGGCCGGGGTGTCTGCCTTTGTGTGCCTGTACTGGCAAAAAAACTAAAGCAAAAAACGCACAAAACAAAACTAAATAGACCAACCATCCCCAACCCGACCCCTCGCAGAAAAAGAGCGAAGCGGCGAGCAGAAAAACGAAGACGGGGCCGCCGACGATCCGGCGAAGAAGAAGAAGCAGCGGCGGCAGCGGACCCACTTCACCAGCCAGCAGCTGCAGGAGCTGGAGGCCACTTTCCAGCGAAACCGCTACCCCGACATGAGCATGAGGGAGGAGATCGCCGTGTGGACCAACCTCACGGAGCCCCGAGTCCGGGTAAGAGGGGCCGCAGCCCCGCCGGGGCGAGCTCTGCTCTGGGGCCGCCGGGGCGTGGGGGACTCGGGGAAACTGCCCCTTATGGGGGAGGGCTGCGACGGTCCGCTCTGGGCTGGATTTAATGACCAAAATTGGGATCCAGGTCGGAGAGGAGAAATTCAGCTCTCGGCCACGGAGAGATCCGCCCGGAGCGGGGCAGCGACCGTGGGCCTTGCGCTGGGGACCGGTTCGGAAAGCGGGCGGCGAGCGGGGCAGGGAGCAGCGAAAGGCCGGGGTGGGGAAGGGTCTGACTGTGGGGGGAAGAACCCTCGGGACCGGACGAAAAGCGTGGCAGGGATGGAGCAAAATCCCACCCGAGCAATTTCCCCTTGCTCTGGTTATTCCCAGTAATCTCCACCGCCATGTCCCAACAAACCCGTGCCCCTGGCTATCGCGACAGCGCGATGGCGAGCTCCAATCCGCACGGAGCGGTCTCGGGGCCGGCCCCTCCCGGCCGCGCGTCCCCCCAAGGCCGCCGGCTGCTTGTGGAGGCCGAAAGCGAAGGGCAGGGGCTGGGGAGCGGTCACAAAGTCAATACGCGCTGAAAACACAAACCTGTACCGCGAAGGCGCTCCATTTTTACACGCCTCGGAGCCTATGCCACCATATATATAAATATGGTCTATATATACACATACAGTATATTTATTTATTTATTTAGGTATATATATGTATATATATATGCGCCCCTCTTAGCCAGAATCGAGGGGCTCGGTAATGTTCGTGCACACAACTAGAAACATATATGTGTGTGTGTGTATGTGTATGTATATAAATATATATATATATGAATGTGTGTGTGCGTGTGTGTTTCGGCAATTCCTTAGAGAGATTTATGAGCAAAAGATCCTGGTAAAGAAGGACCGGGCCGAAGCGGCTCTGTCTCTATGGATCTATCGCTGTGTCTCGGTTTGTCCACCTCCCAAGGGCTTTTTTTCCACCCGAGACATTTCCCCGCGCGGTTTCGACAGCGGTCGCACACCGCGGGACCGTGGGCTAAGCTCAGGAAAAACGGGAACCGCGGAGCGAAGCCTCGCTGCACAGAAAATCCACTTTTTCGGGTTTTTTTTCTTTTCATTTTTTGGTTTTAACTCGGCAATTAAACCTTGAGTGACCAAATCGGATTACAGAGATTCTGCTTTAAACATTTGAAAAGTAAACACCCATTTGAAACAATTGCGTCTGAAAGCATTGTCTTAATTGAGTTTAAAACAAAACAAAGCCTGAACATTAATACTGGTTGAATATTTCAGGGAACAAATATAACTAAAATATGAGTTGCAATTAACATAATTTCGTTCTCCTTCTGTGTGGAGATGTTTGGGTTTGATGTTTTGAGATGGCAGATTGCAAATCTAACCTTAATTTGCTATGAGGGCCTTCCTTTAAAATGTCTAGGAGCCATAATTAAAACTATTACCCTCATTTTCAGGAAATTCCTGTCTGGAAGCACCTTCCGAGGAGTATATTACAGGTTTTGAACATGTTGGCTTTCGTTTCCTATTTATACAGGATTCTTTTTATTATTGTTATTTTTTAAAATAGACTCCGCCATCCGTTCCCCCACGGAGTTTCCATCCTCGGGCCCGGTATTTAATAATAGTTGTGCCATTTCTGCGCCGGGAGGGGAGGCCCCAGGAGCCGCCCCCGCCCCCACGCCGGCTCAGGAGGGAGCGCAGCCTGCGCGGGCCCGGCCCGGTGTCCGCGGGGAGCTCCCGGGCCCAGACCCGGTGGGACAAACCCGGGCTGCGCTGGGGACGATGCTGCAAGGGAGGGTCGCAGCCTGGGCGCCGGCAGCAGGCATCAGGATGCAGATTTTTAACCAATTTTTAAAGATTTTTGAAGCTGCCCGGCTTCAATCAGAGGGGACTCAAATGCTTTCGGAGGGCTATATATGTAGTGTATATATGATTATATATGTATTATTGTGTATAAAAATAATCAGAGACTGGAACCGGTTTTCGCATCAAACATCAGGACCAGCCCCTCTTCTCTGTTTCCTTGTTAGGGCTGTAAATTCTCATTAGATATAAAGGCATAGGCTGCATCTATCCGAGGGCGATGCAGGGATTGATTTTTTTTTTTTTTTTTAAACCTAAACATACTAATCTAATCCCTTTTTTTATGATCTGTAACAGGGGGCTTTTATTACACGGCATTAGCGTTCGGAAACGCGGCAGAGCCGGGGCGAGCCGGCCCTAATCAGAGCGGGCCGTGCTTCGCCCCCCGTCTGGCTCCGGGAAATGGGAACGGGGGGCCAGGGGGGCGCAGGGGGACGCGGGGGTCGGGGGGACGCGGAGACCCGCGCAGGCACCCTCGGCACAGGGAACAGGGAAACTGCGCGCATCCCGGCCGGCGCATCCCGCTGAGCAGAGAGGGATGCGCGCAGAGCCCGCGGTGCGCGCAGGCACCGTGCGGAGCCGGAGCCCGTTCCGCGGGGCGGGGGGCGGCGGGGACAGGCGGTGCCCGGCCGCGGAGCCGCCCTGGAGCCCCGCAGGAGCTGGCCGGGCCGCGGGGAGCAGCGCTGGGCCGCGGATACCTGCGCTCCGGCGGTGGGTGGGGGCTGCTGCGGCCCCGCACTCACAGAGCCGTGTCGCTCCCCCCTCCCCACCAGGTCTGGTTCAAGAACCGCCGAGCCAAGTGGAGAAAGCGGGAGCGGAACCAGCAGATGGACCTGTGCAAGAACGGCTACGTGCCCCAGTTCAGCGGGCTGATGCAGCCCTACGATGACATGTACGCCGGCTACCCCTACAACAACTGGGCCACCAAAAGCCTCACCCCGGCGCCGCTCTCCACCAAGAGCTTCACCTTCTTCAACTCCATGAGCCCCCTGTCCTCGCAGTCCATGTTCTCGGCTCCCAGCAGCATCCCCTCCATGAACATGCCCTCCAGTATGGGCCACTCGGCCGTGCCGGGCATGGCCAACTCCGGCCTCAACAACATCAACAACATCAGCGGCTCCTCGCTCAACTCGGCCATGTCCTCGCCCGCCTGTCCCTACGGGCCGCCGGGCTCGCCCTACAGCGTCTACCGGGACACTTGCAACTCCAGCTTAGCCAGCCTCAGACTGAAATCTAAGCAGCACTCCAGTTTCGGCTACAGCAGTTTGCAAAGCCCCGGCTCTAGTTTAAACGCCTGTCAGTACAACAGTTGACGGACTTGACACAAACCACCTCCGACAAAGCACCGCCGACAAAGCAAAGCAGAAGCGAAGCGACGTTTAACGGAAAAGAAAAAAAAAATTATTAAACCCGATGATGATTAAAAGCAAAACCCAAGCAAGTGAGAGAGGGGAAAAAATAAAATAAAGCACACACACACACCCCCGCCCCCCCCAAAAAAAGGCCCAAAAACTCCGCGGACTTCGACTGTCTAGGAAAAAAAAAATAAAAGGCAAAACAACGATGCAACCAACAAAACAGCGCTTTAAAAATATTTTTTAAAACATTTAAAAGAAAAATCACCTCCACCTAAAACCGTGAACGGACCAGCAAACTTTTGCGAGAGACACCGAAATCTGGTACATGGATGAGTTGCAATTTTTTTCTCTGGATTATGCGGGTTGTATGTGTTTACTTGAACTTGCACAGGAGTCGGTACGGCGGCCGCTGCCCCGCGGGGAGGGCGGCAGGAGGGGACGCCTCGGTGGTAAGAGCTGGTGGGACGGTTCTTGGCCGCTTGTCGCACGGGAAGAGTTTGGTTAATGTTTACCACTGAGAAACAGAATCACACTCGGAAAAAAAAAAATAAAAAGGTTGGGGGATGAGGGGAGGGGAAAAAAAAAAAAACAAATAGCAGAGTAGAATCTGCAGGGGGAAAAATGGTTGAAATATTAGGTATGAAACTATTAAAATAATAATGACAAGGGTCAACCACTTATATAAGGTTATATTTATATCTACCGTTGCATTGTGCCGGATCATTGTCCTTGGCCGTTGAATAAACTGTTTTTAAAATGCATGATTCTTGATGTTTTTTCTTTAGTTGGAAGCTCTAATCCAGTCATTCCTGATACTAAGCAGCTCAAGGTTCCTACCTCTTCATCCTTTCCAAAAGACTGCAGTATCCCCGGTTGTGAGAGAGCACAGAAACCCTTCAGCAAGGCGAAAACTGTTCATCTTTTTCCCCATCCTAAAAAGTCTTATCCTGATAATGAAATTATCATTCATCTTTATTTAAATGCAGGGGGTGTTTTTTCTCTTTGAAAAGTAAAACGGAAAAGCAACCCCCGTTTATAAAGTCTCGAAAAAAAGACGAAAAATGGTTTGTTATGAAGTGATTTCAGATACTGCATCTCTGCTAGAGAAACAGAGAGCCTCGGCGTCCGGAAAGGTTCTTAGCAAAGCTGAAAGTGTTCCTTGCTTTTCTAAATGTGAAGGAAAAACAAGGAACCAAAAAATTTCTTAAGGTGTTATTATCTTAAGGTGTTATTATGTAAATATAGATACTTTTACAAGTGCTTGTTGGAAAAAATAAAAAACAACAAACAAAACATGGAAATTATAAATATGATTTTTATTAATACGCATACAAAAGGCATATGAAGTTTAATTGCAGGCATATTTGTTGCTTATTTTTGTCGATACTTATTACCTGTAGATGACAAAGAGACATAAAATGCACACGGTACTTCTTTCCCAGTGTATTTCACACCTGTGGTAAACGTTACGCTGGATGTTTCAATTATGCTGTTGTGGATAAGGATGCAGTATATATATTGTTTTATAAGTTATGTTTTGTGATTTTTTTTTTTCAAAATTAAGAGCATGGGAATAAAAAAGAAAACTTTAAAAAAAAAACTAAACAGAAACGAAATCTAGAAATGCCTTTAATGTTCTTTTCTGGCTGTGTTTAAGAAAGCGACTAAACAAGAAGAAAAGCGACTTTCTGTCCCCCTCCCCGTGGTGACATTTTGGGGAGCCCCCTCCCCGTTTCCCCCGTAGCTGCGCCGTCTCCCCGCGTCCCGACAGGGAAGGAGCCCCGACCCCTGCCCCGCTCCCCGGGACAGCCCAGGCAGCGCAAACCTTCCTCAGGTCCCATTTTATTTTATTTTTATGGCGGACTGTTACCGCTGTTTGCCGGAGCTGGGGATCCAGCCCTGCTTGCCGCTGCATTGCTGCATCCCACCGTGCCGTGGGTCGGGTTTTTCTCCCCCAAAGAATTAATTCCCGCATCCTGTATCCCCCCGTGGGTCGCAGCTCTGGCACTGCTCCTTCTCCCGCAGTCCCTCGTCCCGTTACGCTAAGGTGCGTTTTTCTCTTGTTTCTCCAAATCCCCCGACATTCTGAATTTTAAAGCTTGTTCGATCAATTCTCCCTCTCCTTTGAGTTTTTGCAAGCACAAATCCCTCTGATTTAATTGCTATTTATTTACTATTTATTAACTATTTCGATTATTATTAATGTTTTGCCCCGATTAGCATAACTGATATAACGAATCAATGGAATACCCGCAGCCGGCGGCAGGAATAGCCACGGCCGGGGCCCAAACGCGGCCCGAACGCGCTGTTTGCGCGGCCGCGGACGGCCCCGTTCCCCGGGTATCGCCGTTCTCCGTGCCCCTGTCCCGGGCTGGGGGGCTCCGCCTGGCTTTGTTCTCATCACGGGGTCCCAGCAGATCTGATCGGAGTCTCCCCGGCCACCCCATCCCCCTCCACAGCCACGGGAGTGTCACCAGAGCAGCACAAGGACCGATTTAACCCCTTTTTCCAGGCGGGAGGGGATCTGCCAGCCCTCCGCTGGGATTTTAGCCAGGGTTTTAGGTGTTCGTTTTCTCCTGTTCCTGGAGGTAGCACCATTAGCCCTGAGTCAGAGCGCGGCGTTCGCGTTTTGCCAAAGCCTGCCCCAGGTTTCAGTTGTTGTGGGAGCCCTGACCCACCCAGCCCCTCCCGAAACTGCAGGAAAGAGCTGGGGAGCAGGGACACAGCCCCCTGTGCTGCTGTCCTCCCCAGTGTCCCCCCGCCCTGCGACTGTCCCACGGAAAGCCGATCTGCTGCTGCTGCTGCTGGGCGACATTTGGGCATCTTGACACATTTATGGCTCAGGGAAAGGAAAATTCCAGGGAGACACTGAGCAGAGAGCAGCTCCTTCACCTTCTCTGTTCGCTTTTACGGGTGCAGCCTTTGGGTCTCCCCCACAATGGCTAGAGCCTGAATTATTCGAGGGTTTGGGGTGTTTGAGGCACGGCTGTGCACTGCCTTGCCCAAGCACGTTTTCCTTAGCGATGTGCCTGCGGAGGTGCCCGGGTGTGTGCCCACGCTGGGGGCAGCCGAGCAAGGCTCTCATTTAATGCTTCATTACTCCCCGAGTCCCCACGGGGGGAGGGCAGTGTAAAACACCGCTCCCCGCCACCCTTCTCACTCCGGGTTTTGAACTCCCCTTGCCGGCATCTGGCTGCTGGTGGGTGTTTCCACACACCGGAGGCGATGGTTTTCCATCCCTCGCCCTGCACATTCCTCCCGGTGGTTTCCAGCGAGTGAAGCTGGAGCTGGAGCTCCTGAAGCTGCATCACTTGGATCCCGAGAGGCTCCGTCCCGGTGGGATGCACAGAGTCCCCAGATTTCTGCCTGCTGATTGCGGGCTTTGTCAAGGCAGGCAGATCCTTGGAGCCAGAGAAATACCGGAATCAAGTTTTCCATTTGTTCTGGGTGTGCTGGCTTACCTATTAGCATTTCCAAAGCAGAGCTGCCTGGCGAGAGCTTTGCCCGGGTTTGCTGGGGAATGCTGCGTGGTCCTGAGGGGTCCCAGACCAGCCCAGGAGCGGCTGCACAGCCGAGCTCTGGCTGCACCAGCCCAGATGAAGTTCACAAATGCCTCAGACTGCACAGTCCGTTCAAGATTAAATGTCTTCTAATAAAAAGCTGTGGTCAGTTTAATTCTAAATTGCATACTTCTCTTTATCTGTGGCCTGGAACTCAGCAAACTATGCAAAGTCCCATTTAAATTAATAGGATGCTTCAGTACAGATTTTAATGGGGTTTTGTATAATAAAAATAACACCTAGAAATGCCCTAACATTTTGCTGCAATCTTGCAACAAAAGTCAGTGGAACTGGGATAATAAAAATACAGGTTTTATATGAAACCTATGAAGGGTTTGTCATTAACTTCAGTGGCACAGTTTCAGGCCTTATTATTTTAGTATATGCTTGTATAAGTAAAAATTACTTTATCAATTAAATGAGAATCTGTGACTTTTCTGTTTCAGTCTGGCAACTTGTATGTGAAATATTTAGTTTGATGTTATCAAAACAGCCAAATATACCAACTTATAAACCAGCCCATTTACAAAGACTGAGAACAAACAAAAATACAAAATTACACAGTGTTTTAGCTCAGTTTGCCCATCAAACAAAGCTGAGTTGTTACTTTTAAGAAAATACTTCATATCCCTCCTTTAATCTATCAAAGAGAACAGTTCTCTGCTCAGCCTCATAGAAAACAGTAAAAACCTCCATCAAAGTAAAATATATTTTAATTAACAGAGCTGCAAAATAAAATCCACAACTATGCAGCAAGCCTCCTCTGTGGCTCACCATTGTGTGAACTGCTTGGACAAGCTGCTCTTATTAACAAGCTATGGGCTACACTCTGTTCCAAACTGATTAAGCAGTAGGGCTGCAGCCAGATTTCCTATCAAAAATGTTTCAATGGCAGCCAGCCTGTTCTTCTGCAGAGTGATGGGGTTTTTTACACGAAAAAATAATTTGTTTATCTCCAACTCCATTTTCTTTAATGAAGAAAGCATACGCACAAAAATTTTATTTACCAAATAACTTCCCAACAAATAAAAATTCTCATAGGAAATAAAAAGAAGAAAAATGAAACAACATATGTATTTGATTTTTTCCCCCTCTTCTTCACTCAACCATTTCTTGCAGAAAGCCAGGTAACAATGCTCAGCCTCTGCTAGAGACAAGCAAATTTGCTCTCAAATCTTCCCAGGAGATCAGTGGAGCTGAGGAAGGCCTGTGCCCGGGGCCAAACCCCAGCGATGTAAATGAGCCCAGAACCAGCTCCTCCCGACACCTCTGCCGATGCAGCCCTGCAATCCGCGGCAGCCTGAGATTCCTCCCCGGAATCTCATGTAAAACAGCACTCGCTCCGGGTTGCTAATTCAAGTCTTGCAGAGCAACTTCAGACCTCCCCCGACAGAA